TTTTTTTTTTTCATTGGCACTACAGCCCCAGTGGGCCTAGGCCTATCTCCATGAACTCCGTTCACTTCGGTTTTTCCAGATCTTACACATACGGTAGGACTCCTTGGGCGGGTGATCAGCTCGTCGCAAGGCCTCTACCTTACACAAACATCCATGCCCTGAGAGGGATTCGAACCCACGATCCCGGCTTCCGAGCGAGCGAAGACAGTGCATGCCTTAGACCGCTCGGCTACCGTGACCGGCCAATTTCAACGAGTACTCGAATTTAATCCACTCTTAATTTCGTCATCAGTGCAAATTAACTCTTCGGCAGGTGCAATATGCAAAGTTTGCCATATTTTCAGATGACTTATTTGCTGTCTTCATGATATGATTTTTGTCTTTCATTCTTTCAGCAGAATCTAGGCCAGTTTAGGCCTACTTCCAGACCAGCCTCATTAATAGAAACTGGTGGATATTTTGTGATTTCTGTTTCTGGTGTTCTTGTTTTAGCCCAATAAATCGTCATCAGCTCAGAACGTAACCTGATGCTTCTCTCTGTATTACAATCGCTTCCACTGCCCTCAGAACTTCTTAAAGCTTACTGTAAAAGTGAGCGGGTTGGCTTAGCGATAGCGCTTTACACTCGCATTTGGGAGGTGGTTATATGAAATTCGACCGAGTACCGACTATATAAAACGAGTGTTTTCCAGTTTTTTCTTTTCGGTCTCTCCGGGTAAATTTCCGGGACCATAAACGAATTATACACTGACAGCTTGCTTCCAGATGCTTCCCAATTGATCATTCATCTGTCATTCGATTCTATTCATAGTTTAGCTACTGACAGCGTCATTAAACAACCCACTAAAATATCGTAAAGCAAATTAAAAAGAAACGGGCCTAAAACATCTCCTAGTTTGAGACCATTTTGAATAGCAAATATATCAGAGAAGTATTTTACCTACATGATCTTACTATAAGTTTAATTTAATACATTTTAATTTGCTAGGTTTAAGCTAGTTTCATGAGTGTGCCAAACTAAATTAAAATACTGTGACATAATTCTCTGCTAGACTTAATCGGAACATAGGCTTTCTTGAAATCTGTAGATCTCTGATATACTGTCCCATTTTACTACCATTTCTGTCTAGTATAAATCAGTGCCCAAAGAAGGAGATTTCAAACATCGAGAGAGGAGTACTGGATAACAGTTTATGTGCAGCTGATGACAGGGACGTACCTCGACAAATAATGCACTCTGTTTTATTGACTTTTATAAATGCTAATAATTACAGATTCCTTCCACTTCTGCGATAATAATTTCCCTTTATAAATGGAATTAACAAGTTTATGGATACTGAATGTTACGGTCTTGTGGCTGTGACGCCGTGTGTGGTTCGGAGAGAGCACGGTATATCGGAGAAAATATCGCCTTAGTCTTAAATTTCGATTCTTGTCACATCTTTCTGCTCGGTTTTTACTTGGTTTATAATTCGACCCTGAAGATGACGGCGATATATTCCTAGGATACGGCTGATTCTCTCGAAACTACTCGATGTTGCAACCCAGCTTTGAGGACTACAAATCCGACTTAAGTTTGTTGACAACCGGAACACAATGCGTGAAAACAATTTCTGCAGGAATTTAATCAATTCATAGAGCTCTATAATCCGTCAATGTTTTAATCGAAAACCAAATATCGGGTACTAATGGCTCAGGTATAAGCAGTACAATCTGGCTAATTACATTACCAAACGCATTTACCTTCAATACTGGCAAATTTTTTTCTTCTGCCTGTCTGAAATACAGAGATCGCATTCTTACCAAGTTACTTTCTAAACCGGTAATCGTTCTTAAATTAATTTAGGCCTGTACGTGTCTACTAAATTCCAATACGCCTATTCTTGTTCGTACTGTTTGTTTCAAGCTCATTTAATTGCCTGTTTGTTCCCGAAACATCTTCTAGTTTCATGTGTTATTCGTTCATTTGTCTCTAATCCTGCAATGATCGCAGTTCAGTGCCCTTACCCTGATCCCATAACATGAACATCCTCAGGACTGAGCTCACCTGGACAAGGGGAGCGCGTAGGTCCTACACCCAAATTGTCAGGCCTGCAGGCCCTACCCAGGCCGACTACTACTAGAGCAAACACAGTGGGTTTCCTATAGGCTCACCGGTGGTGCTGGCGCCGTCATGACGGTGGTGGTTGAGCCCGAGCATTGTGGCGGGACTGCTGCCGGCAGATGTGGCTCCGGTCGCCGTCATGCCCGCCGCCGCGGCTGCCGCCGCCATGGAGCTGACCGCCGAGTTCATGTTGTGCGGCAGGAATGCCGCAGCCACCGCCGCTTGCGCGTTGAAGTACGCCATTCTGCTTGCTGTCAGATTGTTGGCAGCGGCGGCCATGGACATGTGGTGGTGATGCAGGCCCGATCCCGGGTCCGCAGCGGAGGACGTCGAGAAGCATGACGCCGGCGGGAGAACCCGATGCTGGGAGTTGCCCGTGCCGAGCCCATAGCTGTTGCTGCCGGCGCCGCTGTTGGGCGTGATGGCCGATATCCCCGCCGTCGGGCTGCGATGTTGGTGGTGATGTTGGTGATGGTGAGATGTGGCCGCACTCGAATCACCAAGGCCTAAGAGCTCCTGGATTGCAAATGGTGATCTCTGAGGCATTGTGCCGCTTGGCGGGTTAGTTCTAGTAATATGTGTTGAGTAATTGTTGGGAGGAGCCCTTATTGTTGCAGCCACAGGGCTCCCCAAAACACTGGGGGCGGTCACGTGTATCGTGGTGCCGCCTACATTCATAATCTTGAAATACGCACTTAAAATCAATAGGAAACCATGTTTATTCTTAAGCCGTGAAGTATTATCTTCCTGTTAGCAAGGAGATCACTGACACTCCGTTACTGACAGGTGCCAATAGCGGAACTCTGTAGGCATATTGAAAAATAAATAACAATTAGTCATTTTTTTAAGTTAACGGCAGTTCTTCACAAAAATTCTCGTTGTAAATACGTAACGGGAACTTCATTTCGTTGTCCTAAGCCCTTAGTATAACGTACTCACCAAATACTCTAAGAATACGTAAAGCTACGTTAAAATTCGTTTTGTTATGTTATTATTGGTGTAATTTCGTTACTTCAAGCGTTCGTATACACGGTACATTCAGAATGGTTAATATTCATACCAGAATGTTTAATGGTGTTGTTCTACAACGGTAAAATGAGAAGTGCGTTGTGCTGTGAAGACGGGTGTTCGTTGCTCTGATAGGCGCAAAGTTCGTTGAATCTGGTTTCACAAAATTCCGTTTCATACACTGACGTCCTAATTCCGCGGTTTAATATCCACTTACTACGACCGTTACTGCGTCTGTAATGCGGAAACTTTGCTTCTGTGACGTTACATTTCTGTACTTCAGTTCTATCTCTATCCCTCTGAAACTCGGACGCACACAGTTTTCTCTCTCGCTGAAGCACAGGTCCCCGAAATGTTCCATCACTTCACTTCAGCACAACATGTTTCCTTGTTGTGGCTCCATCCTCCCCGTCACGTTTATCACGCGTGCTAATCATCGTCAGAGGACGCCACGTCTCGCTCCTTGCCGTGCAGACCGCGTGCCAGGAATGACGGATGAGCAGGTAGGAGGGCTCCGCTTGTGCTGACACGCTGGTCCAGCGGTGGTGGGGTAAAACACTGCACCAGCCGGATCAAGAGGGCGAAAACTGGCCGGACTCCCCCAGATTGGCGGATTTTTTTTTGGTGAAACAGGGGGAGGTTAGATAAGAAGATGAATACAAGCCCCCTACTAACACTTGCACTGGAATGCTTGTTTCTATGCTACGACTGCTGCTCTTGGGTCCCTCCCTTAATTTTCTCTCCAAACTACCCTTTTCCCCCTCCCGCGTCACTTTAACCATGTAGCCGAACATTTGTCTGGGGTGGGGAAGCTCCGTAGTATTAGCCATTGTCGCAGCCTGACTCTCCCCTATTCCGCCCCTCCCCCTTCAGTCCTTTCCATGGGAACGAAAAAGAAATGTACAAATTGCACCTCTCCTGCTCACGAAAGGGGAGGAGATAAAAATTGGAGAATAAAGGGGCGTGGTACGAATCAGCCAATAAGAAAACTCTCCTACCAACTTGATTGGCAGCCTAAACGGTCGATTAGACCGCCTACCACAGTCGACTCCTTAACGTAAGAAGCTATTTTGAACCTTAAGTCCTTTAATGGAGGTGTTATATTCCTGTACTCCCATCCAGCTCCTAGTTTGCTAGCTTGGTTTCTCAGACCAGTGATGAGAAAAATTACCGATTATACATCCGATTATGACCCATCAGTATAAATAGCGTACGGACTATATTTGTGTGGAGGGGGAGCTTTCCGCGACCGTTGTTTGATCTTTGTAGAGAGACTGTCCAGTATTCGCAAAGCTGTCTCGGTGGCGAGCGGCATTTCGAAGGGCTACCCACCCTAACGTGTCGATCAGAGGTTATCACGGCGGTGACTTCAGGGTTGTTACACCGTGTAGTTTGGAGATTTCGCCGCTTTTCAGAGGGAAGTAAGCGGCAAGCGTGCTTATGTCCAAACTCCACGGCGTGACAATTGAGAAGACTATAAAATGTTTGCTTTTGTACCGGCTGTAGGTTGTGCTTGTATTTATGTTAAATTAATTATGCTCTAAAGTTCAGCAGCCCATAATTGTAATAACAGCTACAAAAAAAAAACAAGCGAATGACGTCATCGTCCTTCAGGTAGTTGTACACGCATGCGCGAAAGGCACATTGCAGGCTGGGTTCGCTGAAACAGGGTGATCACATGAAGGGGATAGAAATTGGCGGAGAATGTAGCACGAATGGAGAAACGATAAATACGTACAAAATATATAACTTAAATTCTGAAGAAAGAGCACTACTTATGAGGGAGTCGTAGGCCTATCGGAGATAACATTAAGATGGATTTACAGTAAATAAGTGAGGGTGTGGAGTAACTTCATCTGGGTCATTTAACTGTACACGTGGATTCTGTGAACACAGGAGGGGCGTAAATGGCGGGACATTTCTTCACCATCTGAGCAACTGTCGGTTTCTCGCGGACCCTGCGTCACTGAATTTGGATCACATTTCTTTCCGTTAGGTGCAGATCTTATAAATTAATGCCGTGCAGGCCGGTGAAAGCTATCGACGTTTCGGAGAACATTTTGTCTCCGTGTATAAGGTCGACTAGTAAGTCAAAGGCTTGCCGCCAGCTTCTTGCCCTGTTAACTTTCAACCCAGAAGATGGAGGCAGTGCGTTCTTCCGAAACGTCGATGAACTTCTACAGGAATACACGGCGTTACATCCCACAATGCTTAAAGCTGACTCCTCATAATCAGCGCTGTTAATATCTCAGACACGAGATATTAATGTTACTGTTTACATGAAATGTCATGTGGGCCAAGCGTTTAGCATAGGCACATAAGAATTTAACGAACTCCACAGAATTGAATGCTCTTGAGATGCCTCCAGTAACTCACCTACTCAGAAATTTCCACAACATTTTACGGAACCCGAATTTTCATTTTCTATTTCACAACAGCCCTCCGTTGGTTCCTATCCTAAGCCAGACGAATACACTCCATACCACCCCATCCAGTTGCTCTAAGATATATATCATTATCGTGGTGTGTATTACCGTTGCTATGCAACGACCGCGAGATGGGCGTATATAGGAAGGCCGTTTCTGTAAACATGTTCCCATTAGTAGGCAGCACCTTCTTAATAATGCAACACTTGGACTACAACAATGGAAGAGAGATGTTTTCTACGTTGTCCGTGCTGGGAGGTTATAAGCGAGACCAGGTTTGGAGATTAGTTGTGGTATGGTGGCAAGCCGGGAATGGCGTGAGCGCGTTAAGCTGATGAATCTCCACTGTTAGAAGCCGTTGCCAGGGAACGGCTGGTGAAGACACAGCAGATTGGAAAAGGCTTAGCGGATGATGTCTTGATTTGTAAAGTGTTGAGATTAACGATGGCGCTGTAATTGCTTGTAGTTGCGAATCGAGTGGTAAAGTGGTCAATAAATCGACTTCCCATATCATAGTCACACATATACGTGACACTGTTATCCTTCCACCGACACCTAGGTCTTCCTAGTACCTTTTTCCTTCTGGCTTTCCAACGACTGTCCTATATGCATTCCCCTTCTTTCACATGCCCGCTAAATACCCCCTCTATCTCGCGCTCCTTGTGTTTGGCGGAAAGTACAATATGTGAAGCTACTCTTCGGTAATAGACTCAAGATATGTTTAGTGGCATCCAAAACACATAAGGCCTAAGTCTGTAGGCGACCTAATTTATTTTGACACTGAAGCCTGGTTGGATGAAGAGCATAAAGGACGCGATCTAAACAGTGGCTCAACGATTGGGCTTATTTCTGTAAGGATGACAGGCGTAGGCCGACAGGTGACATCTGTCGCACAAGTGTCATCAGCCCTGAGCCATATCTGTTGCAGGCCAAGTCCAGTTTCCATACTTTCTTCTTCAGAATTTACGAAGTGAGAGCATCTGCTCGCGTGTTGCATCCCCGAAATAATTGATGCCTAAGCTGAACGTAGTCTGACAGTTACCCTGTTGGCTTCTGTCGCTACAAATGGAATTTTAATGATTTTATACCATAGAGTAATCTGTGCAGCGACTGACTACGGACTGGACGACCATGGTGTCGGAGTTCAAGTCCCGGTAGGGCCAAGGATTTTATCTTCTCCACATCGTCCAGACCGGCTGTGGGGTCAAGAAAATGTGATCTATACATCCACTCCCCCTACAGTTCATGGCATAGTTCTTAATTAGTTAAGCACAGGAACAACTTTGCCTTTATACCAAATAAAACCTTCTGTGTTACTGTCACAGGCCCATAGCGCACGAAAGACCATGATGCTTACCGAAAGAGATTTTAATACATCATAACGATTATGATTCAAAGAAAATGTAATTTCTGAATCTGCTGTCGTTAACAGACTCCTGCCCTGTCTGATGATCCTCTGTATGTCCGTGGCAACTGAGCAGACGCTGCATCACAGTTGGACCTCAGCTTGATTCTCCAGCCCCTGGCGCAATTTGGCCTAGGAGTTACTTCTAAAAACACCGTGCGTAAAGCTATCCCTGTAACAGGATGTCGAGACCCGTAGGATTGTGAGTCGTCGAGGCTCCCACATATTCTCTAGACAATCATCACACGGATGGTGGTAAGGTAGCCAACC